GGGGAGCCGCCCCCCGCACACGCCCGGCCGGGCTATAAAAGGGGCGGCGGCGGCCGGAGCAGCCCCGCACCGCCGCCCCCAGCGCCCCACCATGAGCTACACCATGGAGCCCCTGGGCAACCCCTCGTACCGCCGGGTGACCGAGACCCGGGCCACCTACAGCCGCGCCAGCGCGTCCCCGTCCAGCGGCTTCCGCTCGCAGTCGTGGTCGCGGGGCTCGGGCAGCACCGTGTCCTCGTCCTACAAGCGCCCCAACCTGGGCGGCCCCCGCGCCGCCTACGGCTCCACGGTGCTGAGCTCGGCCGAGAGCCTGGACGTGAGCCAGTCCTCGCTGCTCAACGGCGCGGCCGAGCTCAAACTGAGCCGCTCCAACGAGAAGGAGCAGCTGCAGGGGCTCAACGACCGCTTCGCCGGCTACATCGAGAAGGTRCATTACCTGGAGCAGCAGAACAAGGAGATCGAGGCGGAGCTGGCGGCGCTGCGGCAGAAACACGCCGGGCGGGCGCAGCTGAGCGACGCCTACGAGCAGGAGCTGCGGGAGCTGCGCGGGGCCCTGGAGCAGGTGAGCCACGAGAAGGCGCAGATCCAGCTGGACTCGGAGCACATCGAGGAGGACATCCAGCGCCTGCGGGAGCGCTTCGAGGATGAGGCGCGGCTCCGCGACGAGACGGAGGCGACGATCCGCGCCCTGCGCAAGGAGATGGAGGAGGCCTCGCTGATGCGCGCCGAGCTGGACAAGAAGGTGCAGTCGCTGCAGGACGAGGTGGCCTTCCTGCGGGGCAACCACGAGGAGGAGGTGGCCGAGCTGCTGGCGCAGCTGCAGGCGTCGCACGCCACCGTGGAGAGGAAGGACTACCTGAAGACGGACCTGACGACGGCGCTGAAGGAGATCCGCGCCCAGCTCGAGTGCCAGTCCGACCACAACATGCACCAGGCCGAGGAGTGGTTCAAGTGCCGCTACGCCAAGCTGACCGAGGCGGCCGAGCAGAACAAGGAGGCGATCCGCTCCGCCAAGGAGGAGATCGCCGAGTACCGCCGGCAGCTGCAGTCCAAGAGCATCGAGCTCGAGTCGGTGCGCGGCACCAAGGAGTCGCTGGAGAGGCAGCTCAGCGACATCGAGGAGCGCCACAATAACGACCTCAGCACCTATCAGGTAGCGGGGAGGGGGCGGCCCGGGGCTGTCCCGAGAGCGGCGGGGAAAGGGGGGTTCCCGGCGCCGCTTCTGGGGGGAGGGATGCGGGGGTTTCCCGGTGCCCGCTCCGGGCGAGGGATGGAGGAGTGCGGGAGGTGCCCGGTGCCGGCTCCGGGGGGAGAAATGCGGGAGGTGCCCGGTGCCAGTCCCTGGCGAGGGACAGGGGAATGCGGGAAATGCCCGGTGCCCGCTCCGAGAGGGGTGCGGGAGGTTCCCGGTGCCCCGGGAGGGATGCGGGAGGTTCCCAGTGTCCGCTCCGGGAGGGGAGGCGGAGGGGGTGCCCAGTGCCAACCCCTGGTGAGGGATGCGGGAAATTCCCGGTGCCAACCCCTGGCGGGGGATGAGGGATGCGGGAGGTGCCCGGTGCCCCGGGAGGGATGCGGGAGGTTCCCGGTTCCCGTTCCAGCGGGAGGGATGCGGGAAATGCCCGGTGCCCCGGGAGGGATGCGGGAGGTGCCCTCTGCCCGCTCCGCAGCCAGGGGTACGGGAGGTGCCCGGTGCCAGTCCCCGGTGAGGGATGAGGGAAATGCCCGGTCCCAGCCCCTGGAGGGGGATGAGGGATGCGGGAAATGCCCGGTGTCCGTTCTGGGAGGGGTGCAGGAGGTGCCCGGTGCCAGTCCCCGGTGAGGGATGAGGGAAATGCCCGATCCCAGCCCCCGGTGAGGGATGTGGGATGCGGAAGGCGGGGGGAGGACGCTGCGGAGGGCGGTGGGAGCGGGTGGGTCCCTCTCTGCTGCCGGCCCTGCCTCCCCGAGCGCCGGCAAGAGTTTCCAAAAGTCCCCTCGGGGAAGTTGCGCCCTCTCCGTCCCCTCCGCG